AGGCTTTTTTCCCCTGGAGCAGAGACTGCGGGGTGACCTTACAGAGGTTAATAAAATTACGAGGTGCATGGATAGGGTAAATAGCCAAGGTATTTTTCTAGGGTGGAGCAAGTCCAAAAGGTGAGATGGGAAAGATTTAAAAAGGAACAAAAACAGAAGTTGCTGGATAAACTCAGCAGGTCTGGCAGCATCTGTGAAAAAAAAAAAAAAAATCAGCGTTAAAATTTCAGGTTCGGTGACCCTTCCTCAGTAGCTACCATCAGTTCTGGGGAAGGGTCACCAGACCAGAAACATTATCTCTCTTTTTTCCTTCACAGATGCTGCCAGACCTGCTGAGCTTTTCCAGCAATTTTTGTTTTTGTTTCTGATTTACAGCACCCACAGTTCTTTTGGGTTTTTTTAAGATTTAAAATGGACCTGAGGGGCAACTTTTCCATACAGAGGGTGGTGGGTGTATGGAATGAGCTGCCAGAGGTGGTGGTGGAAGCTGGTACAATTACAACATTTAAAAGGCATCTGGATGAGTATACGAATAATTGGGGTTTAGAGGGATATGGACCAAATGCTGGCAAATAGACGGAGGTCAGATTGGGATGTCTCAAGTGCGGATGAATTGGACTGAGGGTTCTGCTTCTGTGCTGCATGGAATCATACATCAGCAACTACTGTAGAAAAGCTACAGTCCATTATAAAATATTTGTTTCAGTGGAGTACTTGGAAAACTGAAAATTGGATAGATTCAGCACTGGACTCCCTCCGTAGACAGACCATGCTACTTCAGATGAGACGACCAAATCTACCAGGCCCTGTGCAATTTCAGCAACATATTCCTGCTTCTGTACTCAAATCCTCTCACTTTGAAGGCCAAGATACCACTTGCCGCAACTGCATGTTTACTTTGAGACTGCTGTACAATATCACCCAGATCTTATTGCACCTCCCCTTTCCCAATCTGTCAGTCAGATAATAATCTGCCTTCCTGTTTTTGCTTCCAAAGTGGATAACCTCAGATTTATTAACAACATACTTCACTTGCCATGCATTTGCCCTCTCACTCAACCGTCCAAAGTATACTTGAAGCACGTCTGCGACCTCCCCACAATTCACCTTTCCACCCAGCTCGGATGAATAGCTGGAGTCCAAGCACTGATCCCTGCAGTACTCTACTGGCTGCCACTCAAATCACCTGTTTATTCTTACTCTTTATTTCTTGTCTGCCAGCCAGTTCTCCAGTCATATCAGTACACTATCCCCAATCCCATGTGATTTAATTTTACATGTTAACCTCTTATGGATGTTATTGAATGCATTCTGAAAGTCCAAGCAAACAATATTCACTGGTTGCTCCAACCGGAGCTTTTTGAGAACGTAACTAGATTTGTCAAGCATGATTTCCCTTTTGTAAATCCATGCTGACTTTATCCAAATCTGTCAATTTTCCAAATGCTAAACTATTAAATCTTTCATAATGGACAATAGCATTTCTGGAACAGTTCTTGAAGAGATCAAGGACAGATAAAAGCCCATAGAGAAGGGTCCAGGTGAAGGTAGAATATTAGAGACGAGTAAAAGGCTTGTGGAGAGAGACGGAGTGAGACAGCGAGCAAGAGAGAGAGATAGCCGGTGCGAAGTTGAACCCGAGAGTCGCCACACATCAGATGAGCGGCAAGGTTGAGGTGGGCCCTTCACAGCAACGTCAGAAGTGTGCCCATGCTGTCTGAATAGTTCAACGTGTCTGAAATTAATTTCATTGTTCCTACTTGCAGGATTCCGATTCCCATGAATAGTAGTAATACCAGTATGCCCCAAGCTTCGAGAAAATCAAATCTCACAAACAGTGGAAATCAAATAGCCATATAATTCTGAAAAATTAAAACACTTTCACATATTCTAAAATACATTATTAACAGGTTTCCAGCTAGATCTCAGTTAGCATTCAAACAGCAGAGCCCATTGTGCAAACACTCAACTATACGTTGGCACTTAAAAACACATTCATGACTCATGTCAAAAACAAATTCACACATTGATCGATTTTTAAAAAAAAAAAACTGGTGATTGCATGAAAAGATACCAGCTTTTATTTGCTTGAGTTGCAGAAATTTGGCAGAAATCCAAACCATGACCTTAAACAGTTAGCTATGATGGATGTTGCGCTGGTGGAATTTCAAACCATATGGCATTTACATTAATTCTCCACCTCGTTTATGTGAGGTTTGCACAGAAACTAAAATAGTGTGGTATTCCTGCACCAACTGGCATAGAGCAGAAGCTTTCAACTGTTTCAAAGTTAAGCCACACAAATTCATAAAAAAAAAACATTCACGGGATATGAGCATCATTAGCAAGGTGACCATTTATGACCTATCCCTATGCCATTGTTTATGAGGCAATTTCAGAAGGCAGTTAAATCATACACAGAGCTACAAGCCTGGAATCACATTAGACTTGATCAGGCAGACATGCTCCGAGAAGCAATCCAGATGGGCTTTTCCAACTACCAATTCATATTAATTATAGATTTAATTTGATTCATTGTATTTAAATTCTCCAGCTGTCACGGTTAGGTGATTTGAACCTGTGTTTCTGCATCATTAATCCTGCTGGATTAGCAATCCACTAAATCTCTAAACCATCATATTTAATGACAAAGAGTTTTCAATTATGTCAAATAAAAAGAAAACACTTTATTGCAAAGACAACTGGCAGCAGCATGCAGGTCAGCGTCACTGAAGTGGACAGGAAAAGCAGACCCAAGTGAGATTCAGGAAAGAAATATGGATCAGATGTTTCAAATCTTTATATTAGTCAGAACAGAAGACAACCAGTCAGAGCAGCAAGCTGACATTAGTGTACCACGGTGAGGCAATTGGAAGGCAGGTTGCTTTTGTTCACTTTCAAAAGCAATAAGGAAAGGGAAGAATCCCAGCTTCTTTTTTAGAAGAAAACTTTAATTTTCTATTTGGCTTATTTTTAGGGGTCAAGTTTATTTTTACCAGAAGGTATGGCAAGGGAGCTCAGTCTCTTCTATTGCACAGCCTGCAGTATGTGGAAAGCCTAGATACTCCTGGCAGTTTGGATGACAACATCTGCAGTCGGTGCTACCAGTAGGACTAGTTTAAGGACCAGGGTTTGGACCTGAAGTGTAAGCTGGAAGCACTGCAGTGCATCTGCAACATTAGGAGTTACCTGGATAGCACATTTTTAGATGTGGTTACTACCCAGTATAAGCAAAGGCAGTCAGGAAAAAATGAGTGACCATCAAGGGGAAAAAGGAAACAGATAGACAAGTTTGTGTGTTGGAAATGGTGAGAGTGACAGTCCCTCTGGTGAATGCACTCAAAACCCACCTGCACAAGGAGTGAGGGGGTAGGGGGAAAGCAGACAAAGTGGAGGAGTTATAATGGTAGGGTCTCAATACTGAGAGGTACAAGCAGGTGTTTCTGCACATGCAGATGTTACTCCAGGATAGTGTGTTGCCCTCCCTAGGTCCAGTGTCAAGTATGTCACTGAACTGCTGCACGGCATTCTGAGGGGGCTGGGAGGGGAGGGTAAACAGGAAGTCGTCATGATTCACATTGATACCAGTTAAACATTTTGAAAGAGGGATGTGGTCCCACAAATGAGGACTTAGGGAGCAAGATAGCAGATAGAAAAGCAGGACCTCAAAAAGGTTGTAATTTCTGGATTACTCCCAATGCGGGGTGCTCATGAGTAGTGGAACAGGTGGATGGAGCAGATGACTGTGTGGCTGAAGAGATGGTGCAGAAGGGTGCCCTTCAGATTCCTGCATTGCCAGTTCCATAACAGGGAAGGTGGAACATGTTGAAATATGCCTAAACTACAAGGGGGAGTTCGCATGTGGATGTCTAAACTAAATTTTGTAGGGGAATGCTTATGATTATGAGGGGAGACCTGATTGAGGTGTTCAAAATTACTAGGGGCCTAAGTAAGGTACATAGGAAGAGTGAGTATACATTTAAAGTGAACCCAAGAGGGTTAGAGTTATTTAAAAGGAAGAATATTTTTTCACCCAAAGGGCGTTAAGGGTCTGGATATCACTTTTTCAAAGGGTGGTAGAAGGGAGGAGTTACAACGTTCCCCCTCAGCTGCGTGGATGCATCCCTGTTGTACCACACACTCCGATCAGTGAGGTGACATACTGTGTTCCGATTTCAGAAGTCGCAACCATGCATGCACCAAAAAAAAAAATTACCGTGCAAGAGAATTGGCAGAGTTAATTACAACATTTAGGAAATATTTAGATAATCACTTGAAGCAACATAGCATATAAGGCTACAGACCTGGTACTGGAAAATAGGACTAGGTTCAGCTCTGAAGAGGAGTCATATCGGACTTGAAACAAACTGTTTCTTTATACATTGATGCTGCCAGCCCTGGCAATTTTCTCCAGCACTGTGTGCTTACATTAAAGTAGATGGGTGCTGGGTGAGACACAAGGCCTACATGTGATGTAAAACTCTGACTCTAAACAGAGCTTGTGCAAAGCTAAGTATATTAAACCAAACTATTTTCACGCAATTACATTTACCAAGCAATATATTTAACATTACTACTACTTGGGAATCTGGGACTATCAAGTCAACATCCAGTAGTTAGTTTTCACGATGTTTCCAGTAATAATTGTTTTAGTTTGTACAATTTCAAGTCATTACCCTGCACAAACAGCCCAGCTTTTAACTCTTCACCAAAACAAATTGTAGTTGAGGGCATCACTTTAAAGACTAGCATTTGATGCCATCCATTTTTGCCCTTGAGAAGCTAGCAATAAGCCTGAAATCTGTGTTTGAAGAAACTCCCACAAGACTGCTGGGTGTGCCAAGATTTGATCCAGCATCCAAAATAACCTGATGTGCTTTCAGGTCGTGGTGGAATGCAATTTGAAAAGAGCATATCAATTCACAGGATTATGAATAAACATGGATAACCCCATTAGCAATATACTTTAATATAAATGCTGGTGCAATTATCACAATTACCTGGCAGGAACGAAACTGGTTGACCAGCAGCGTACATCTTTGTGGGTCTTTACGTCCATCTAAGTTATCCAATTCAGCTGCAACCTGATTTAGCTCTTCATCTGCATAGTAGAACTGGGCAAGCAGCTGTGGGTCTGATCTCTAAAATTTCAAAGAGAATTCACAATTAACTGATTTACTAAATGTATATACTAGTTGCCTAAAACTCGTGGCTTCAACTAAAACATCATCCAACTGTTGAACATCTTTCAATGTGAAGCGAAGTATAATGGTTCACCATATTGCACCTTGTTATGCAGAATTCTATAATTAGTTTTACAACCTTCTCAGGACATGTTGAATCACTTTAGGTTCAATCAAATCCTAGTTGAAGTGCAATCGCTGCTATAATGTAGTTGTTGCAGCAGCCAATTTGAACATAGCAAGTTTCCACGAAGATTTTTTTTAAAAAACTTTTTCCTGCACAGTGTGGTTCATGTGTGGAATGAACTTCAAGCAGATAGAGTTTCAAATGAGTAAGAAATGTTTGGGGGCGGACGGGATATGGGCCAAGTGTAGGCAGGTGGGACTAGTTTAGTTTAGGATTATGCTCAGCATGGATCAGTTGGACCAAAGGGTCTGTTTCCATGCTATTTGACTCGATGACTCTAGAATGTCATAATACCTAGCTAATCTGTTCTTGAAATATCAATTTACGGATAAATCTTGGCTGAGACACCAGAGATATCTCCCCAGCTCCTTGAAGTGGTGCCATGGAATACTTTATATCCACCTGCCTTTCACTTAACACGTCATTTGAAAGAATAACTGGGTTGTTAGCGAGTCATGCAACTGCAAACCATCGAACATTCTAATTTTTGTACCGCATTGTCAAAAGAAACTATTAAGTGTAAAATGCATATTTGTCACAAATCAAGCTTCTTGCAGTCTGTCAGTACACATTTTCTCGGTTATTCTCAACACTTATTTCAAATCAAAACGAAGTTTAGTTGGGCAATATAATAATGGCAACAGACCAAAACAAAATTTGCCACTGATCATAGTGGCAATAAACAGCATGACACCTGTTGATTTCCCTGACCAGTAATGATGGCCTGAGATCTGTTGTACTTAACAGGGTGATCAGCAATTTGGTATACAGCATTCAATAATGAATACACTCAAAGATAAGCATGCTTTGTTCAAAGTGTGAACATACCAAATTTGAAAATGACACCTAATTCATTTCACAAAGCAATTGCTAGGCTTTTGACTATTAGATTAGTTAATTAGTTTGATTCAACATCACAAGTGGACCCAATTTCTCATCCCTGAAGGCTCTTCTCACAGCCATAATCTGCTCATTCAAAACCCTGCTGCCTGCATCTCGACTATCATGAAGTCCTGTTCACTTGCAATGCTGACATTCTATGACCTCTAGTTCAAGGAAGCAACTCACCATCCTTTTCGATGTATGTACAACAAATTTTGACCTTGCCAATAATGTTCACATCCCAGAAAATAAAACATCCCACAACATCTCAAATTTAGAATTCTCATTCAAATTCCTCCATGGTCTCACTCCTACCTCAGTGACCTCCTTCAAACTAACTTTCATTCAACTCTCACCTCCTAAACATCCCCGATTTCCTTCTCCCCTCCATTGGCTGCGATACTTTCAGCTGTTCAGGACTTGAGTTCTACAATTCCCTCCTTTGTATTTCCACCTTTCCCTTCATCTAAGACTTCCTGATGACCAAGATTTTAGGCTAATATCTGTTTTAATAGCTCCTCACTAAAAAGTCAATTTTCTCCAATAAAGCTCCAATGAAATGACTTCAAATGTTTCACTACTTTAGGAGGTAGCATATAAATGTAAATCATGGAGTGCTCCTTCACTTGCCCAACAACTTGCCTTTCTACCTCTGTATTCATGGCACAATAAATTACAACCTTCAAATAGCCTTAATAGTTAATCCAATTGTTTCCAAATAAGACTTTTGAATAACCAATCTCAGACATTGCAAATAATTAATTCCAGAACCAGTTCTGTATCGGAAAATAAAAGGACTTAAAATATATTAAATATACAACTTTAGCAAAGCAAAAATTAAAAAAACTTTAAATGTCTTTAATGTCTATGCTTTAAACCCAAAATGTTTGTTTAGATCCCCCATTCACACAAGACAGACAGACAGACAAACACACAAAAAACACAAAACTGGTCAGATTACTTAAATGGCTTTCATGATTCATTGCTTCACAAGCAAAGCTGTAGGCTCCCTGGTTGCTTTTCTGAAGATACTGATCAGGGTCACCTTTTCAGTTCACTCAGCTAAAGACAGCAATACTTCTAACTCAGCGTTTTTACTCTCTGGACTTCCAAAAGCTGGTAAGGGAGGTTAGGCAGGGAGCTTTCAAAAGATTTTCATGCTGTGTCATCAGCAGTCAAAACTCTTCTCCCCAGAAAACAGATCAAAACAATTCCAACTGATAGACTGACGATCTTTTCCAGAGGTCACAATTACCAATCAACATCAAATCTGCTTGAATATAGGGTCTCTCCCAGACTTGCTGGAACCAATTTCCAGGTACTGAACTCATTAATAGCCAACTTTTGCTATCTGTTTGAACACAATGCTCTTCTCAGGGTCCCTGTCTGTAGGTGCCCCTTTAACCAAGAATCAGTCTGCAATTAACCTACAGGCTTGGCCTCAAAAAATCTTGGTTGGTCTGTTCTTTTTCTTTTACTACAAGCTGTTTCCCAAAGTCCAAAAGGTCATCAGCTTAAAATTCCCAGTTCACAGATCCAAACTAAAATTGATAAAATAAAAATGATGAAAAATCAGCGAGGTTTCTAACAACACTGTTATACTTCTACATTTCTAGAAGATGTAGCTTGGCAGAACTATCTTGTCATCATTAAGACTGAAAAATAAAAGCAATTAGGTTGTAGTTAGACTGTGAACCAGCAGTTTTAAAGAAAATGTTTAAATAGTCATGTGACTATTGAGATACAAATAAGTTTTACAAACCAATAATCCTCCCCAGAATCAAAAATGAAAAGGTTTCACTTAGTTTGATCTCAACTCATAACATACAAGATGCTGAGGATTCTGGACAGGTTATATGCAAAGAGGTCATTTCATCCTGCGGTACAAACTAGAATGAAGAGTCTCAGTTCAAGAAAACAAAGGCCACTCATTTAACACATGGATGAAGGAAACATTTTTCTTGGAGGGTTGACAATCTTTGGAACTCTCTTACTGAAGAGGTGGGTGGAGAAGAGTCTTTGAATATTTTATAAGCAGATGTGGAACTTTTATAGTTAAGGGACTGAAAAGTCATCATGGATAGATAGGAATATCAATTTGACATTACAATTGGACTCTAACAATTTCTCCAATAACTGATGTTAAGCAGGTAGATTTATAGTTACCAATTCTTTTTGGTCTCCTTCCCTTTTTAATGAGAAAATGCTGCATTGACATGATTTTGATCGTCTGGGACTTGGTCAAAATCCATGCATTCTTGGAAGGTTACTACCAGGGTGTCAACTATCTCTGTAGCTACTCCTTAACATCAGTTACTGGAGAACACATCTACAAACATACAGTCCCTTCAAATCTGATGCTCAGTAGTAGCAGTGTGTACTATCTACAAAATGCACTGCAGAAATTCACCAAGCCTTCTGAGCCAGCATCTTCCAAAACCATGATCATTACCACCCAGAAGGGCAATGACTGCTGATATATGGGAGCATTACCACCTGCAAGTTCACCTCAAGGCCACTCACTATCCTGACTTGGAAATATACTGCTGATCCTTCAGGTGTCACTGGGTCAACATCTTGGAATTACTTCCACGAGAGTACTGTGGATGTACCTACATCTGAAGGACTACAGCAGTTAAGAAGGCAGCTCATCACCACCTTCTGAAGGGTAAATACAGATAGGCAAGAAAAAGGTACATACTTACATGAGGAAATTCACCAAAAGATCCTCAGACAGCACCTTCCAAACCCACAACCACTTCCATCTAGGAGGACAAGGGCATCAGACATATGGGAACACCACCACCTGCAAGTTCCCCTCCGAGCCACTCACCATCCTGACTTGGAAATATATCACTGTTCCTTCACTGTCGCTGGGTCAAAATCCTGGAATTCCCTCCCTAAGGGCATTGTGGGTCAACCCATAGGAGGAGGGTTACAGCGGTTCAAGAAGGCAGCTCACCACCACCTTCTCAAGGGCAACTAGGGTTGGGCAAGAAATGCTGGCACAAATGAATAGAAAAAAAACTTTCAACATTTTGTGAACAGCAGTATTGAATCATCACTGTTCAAGAAACAAATGCTAACACTTGAAAATAACCTCCCACCGTTTTTTTTTTTTTTTTTTTTTTAAAAAAGAAATTTGCTCATTGGATATGTTCCTTTTCCAACAAGTAAGTGTTCTGTGTCTTTTAATGTATCTCCCAAAAGGCTGTTCAAAGCAAAGATATTGAAGAGTCCCAGTCACCGTCAACTAACTAGTCACCATCTGCACCGTATCAAACCATGACTAACTCATGTTACAGACTACGTTAGAGAAAGGATTCCACAATAACACTGCTCATAAACTTTTCAAAGCAGACAGTTTGTGGAGCAGGCTGATGTATGCAGTTACTTGATCTGTAAAACAGAAACTTACTGTATTAAATATAGAATTATAAATTCCAAGCACAGCAACTCAATTTTTCCTTGCCATGGTTTGGGCTTATGACCTTAATTTTCAAATGCCTACAATGCCACTTCTCTCCCCATCTCTAACCTCCTTCAGTTTAACAGACTGAGAATTTTGCATTCCTCCAATACTATCATTTCATTTCTTCCACTAAAGTCTTTGGCCTTGACTCAAAATACTGGAATTCTCATGCCATATCTCTCTCACCTCTCTCCTTGAAGACGTTCTTTTTAAAACCCATCTCTTTACCCTCACCCGCCCAAAATCGGTCATAGCTTGAGGTCAAAATTTGATTCATGACATTCCAATAAAACGCCTTAGGGTTGCAAAGGCACTTTACAAATACAAGTTGTTCTCATCTCAACAGGCACATGGTCCTCAGTTGAAGGGATAGACAAGTCAACCATAAGTTTGCATCAGTTCCATGCGAGATCACAG